CGTCTTGTTTTCCGATGCTCTATAGATTTTAGATGAATAATCGGTTGCAAGATTGCGTGTGTGTGTGTATAAGAAAGGGGGGAAAAAAATATCGAATTTGGACAAGGAATTTCGAAGCTTTCATCTCTCCCTCTCAGTCTTATCTCCCTCCCCCCCTTCTCTCTCTCTTTCTCTCTCTCTCTCTCTCTCTCTCTCTCTCTCTTTCTCTCTCCACCTCTCTCTCTCTCTCTCTCTCTCTCTCTCTCTCTCTCTCTCTCTCTCTCTCTTTCTCTCTCCACCTCTCTCTCTTCCTCTCTCTCTTTCTCTCTCTCTCTCTCTCTCTCTCTCTCTCTCTCTCTCTCTCTCTCTCTCTCTCTCTCTCTCTCTCTCGCACTGATTCACTCACTCTCACTTTTTTCTGTCTGTAAGTCAATCAATTTTTTTTGGGTTACGTCCTCCCTTTCTTATCATATATTCATCAAATCAATCTCTTATCATTTATTCAATTAATAATTAAGATAGGGCTGGGCTCACTTTTTCCCCCCTCGTAGAAGCCGCGATGAAAAAGGTACTTAGTATCATACGTTAAACGGACGCATAGCGAAGAAAAGAGAATGTCCAGTGAGAAGACAACTTTGTGACTGTGCCATGTTAAAGCGAACGCTGGTGAAAGTGCCACAGGATTGGACTTGGCATATATGACTCCTGGCGAGACATAAATCTGATATTAGAGAAAGTGCCGTGGCAAAGACGTGGCAAAAAGCTGGCGAATGTGTTACGGAGACGGAGCGTCAGTTAGGCTAGGCCAGACTTGATCCCTCTTCGTGATAACGAAGGAGGAAGAGAGAGAGAGAGAGAGAGAGAAAGAGAGAAAGGAAGAGATAATGGGGAAACCGCACGAAGGATATTTAGGGTTAGGAAGTGTGTGAAAAAAAACGGGAGAGGGGGAGGAAGGGAGGGAGAGGGTAAGCGAGAGGGAAGGTAGAAGAGAGAAGAGGAGGGAGGAAGAGTTAGAGAGAGCGAAGGAGATAGGGAAAGTAAAGGAGAAAGGGAGAGGGAGAGAGAGAGAGAGAGAGAGAGAGAGAGAGAGAGAGAGAGAGAGAAAGAGAGGGAGGAAGAGGGGAAGAGAGAGAGGAAACGGGAGAGAAAGGAAGAGAGAAAGAGGGAGGAAGAGAAAAATAGAGGGGAAAAGAGAAAGAGAGAAGGGAAGAGAGGAAGAGAGAAAGAGAATGAGGAGAAGGGAATGAAAGAGAGGAAGAGAGAATGGAAGAGAGGAGAGAAGGAGACATAGGAAAAGAGAATGAAAAAGAGGAAAAAAGAGAGTAAGAGAGAGGCAAAGAGAGAGAGGAAGAGAGAAAGGGTGAGAGGAAGAGAGAGAAAGGGTGAGAGGAAGAGAGAGAGGAAGAGAGAGGAAGAGAGAAAGGGTGAGAGAGAGAGAGAGAGAAAGAGAGAGAGAGAGAGAGAGAGAGAGAGAGAGAGAGAGAGAGAGAGAGAGAGAGAGAGAGAGAGAGAGAGAGAGAGAGAGAGAGAGGGGGGGATAACAGTGCCGCCAGGACGTGTGAGTCAGCATCACATAACACACTAGCAAGGAGAAAGTTGGCTGTGAGTTCCCCTCTTGCGCGATGGTCTAGAAATACACACTTTTGAAACCGAGAGGAAGAACAAGAACAACTATTAATATAACAACATCGCCAGCAGTGATAACAATACCAATAGGAACGGCTATTGCTGCCACTAGAACAACCATCACGTCATTATCATCATTTGCAACATCAGCTACAATAAACGTCACCACCAACAATAGTTACATTATAAAGAAGACAATATTATCACCATCAGGAACATCATGATCTGTTACTATAATTACAACAGCAACCACATCAACAACAATAACAACTACAGTAACCACAACCAGAAACAACCACAACCATAACTACAGAAACTACAACCCTAAACAACCACAATAGCAACAACTACAGAAACTAAAACAACCCTAAACAACCACAACAACAGCACCAACTACAGAAACTACAACCCCAAACAACCACAACAACTACAGAAACTACAACCCTAAACAACAACTACAAAAACTACAACAACCACAACAATAGCAACAACTACAGAAACTACAACCCTAAACAACCACAAGAATAGCGACAACTACAGAAACTACAACCCCCAACAACCACAACCACAACAACAGAAACTACAAAAAAACCAAACAACCACAACAACTACAGAAACTACAACCCTAAACAACAACTACAAAAACCACAACAACAACCCTAAACAACAACCACAACAACAACAACCCTAAACAACCCCAACAACCCTAAACAACAACCCCAACAACAACAACAACAACAACAACTACTACCACAACACGTTACACGAGGTAGTGGGCAACGATGAGCTAAAATAAGGACAGTGTTAACGAGCTTACCAAAGTGTCATTAGCTTTAACTATCACGAAACGGATTATGGCGTAGTTACAAGGGTGTGTGCGAGGGGGGTGGGGGGT